TAAAATAGTTTGGTTTAATTTTACAAATTTGGGGATCGCAGCAAGAATTGGGCACATTAGTAATTGTGGCTTGTTTAACATTACCCGAAGACGATGAGTTTCTTTAGCAATACTCGTAATAATCGAACTCAACTACAATGGTTTACTTATGTCGCCTCTTGAATTATGGCTTTTTGCAGTCACATCGAAAAATCGACGGACAGGCAGCTGAATTCTCAAGATTCGGACCCAGAGCAGCTGACAGTCTTCAGATTTGTCAGTTACCCACCCGCCAGCAGCCCCAAGTTTTTCCTTTCACTAGTTAACTAATTTTTAAACATAACCGACTATCACAATCGGCCATGTTTAAAAATTCTCCGGACAAATAGTTTCATCTTCATCTTGATCAACTTGCCAAGTTACGCACCACTGCCAAGTGAGCAATTTCGCCTTTAATTACAAAACATTTACATCGGATGAGAACGTAATAAATCCCTGACTCATATTAACTGATGATTCGCAAGGTGTTGTCATCGTTATGGTTGTAGGCTTTGGTTCGTTTCCGGTAAAATTAGCCAAGGGAGATAACTGCCGGTAGAATTGTGGATTAAGATAATTATTGAAGCAAAGATTCATTCCTGTTATTCAACTTTATCTTGTTTTTCTTTCTTTCTTCCATTTTGTTTTTCTTTTTTCGTTATTACTTTTCTTTCTTTCGTTCGTCATAATGCAAAATCCTGTACTAGGAAATGAACCAGCAAATAACGTCTTTTTATGACAGTTCTCCACTTTGCTTATAATGCAATCACTTAAAAAGTGGGAGGCGGCCAATTTTCTCTTTCAGTCTATTTCTATCTTTCTTTCCACCTCCCTCTCTGTCTGTATGTATATGTATATCTCGCCCTTCATTAGTCTTTAGCCTCTTCTCTCTCTCTCTCTCTCTCTCTCTCTCTCTCTCTCTCTGTTTCTCTTTAATTTTCCTCTTCCTTTTCACCGATCTTTTTCCTCACTATCCCTATTTCTTTCTTTTAATTCTTTTCTCTTCTCTTTTCCCCCCACTCTTTCTCTTTTGTGTTATTCTTTTCTCTCTCTTCTTACATCTCCCTTCATTTTTTTTTCTATCGCTTTTCTTCTCCATTCTCTCTCCTCTGGTCTTCATCCATCTTCTCCCTCTCTATATATTTTCTTCCACTCATCTCTTTCTTTGCTTCCTCTCACACCTCTTTTTCTTTCCCTCTCTGCCTTACTGGACTTTTTCTCTCTCTCTCTCTCTCTCTCTCTCTCTCTCTCTCTCTCTCTCTCTCTCTCTCCTCTCCTTTCCTTTCCTTCCCTTGTCTTTCGTCCTTTTTCTTCTACTTGTTTTTTTGTTTGATTTTTGTTTTTGTTTTTTGTTGGTTTTTTTTTGTTATGTTCCCCTCCCGTTTTTCTTTCTCGCAGTCTCCTGCATCTCCTTTTCTCACACTTATCCCTCTCTCTACATTTTCTTCCACTCATCTCTTCCTTTTCTTCCTCTCACACCTCATTTTCTCTCCCTCTCTGCCTTACTGGACTTTTCTCTCTCTTTCTCTCTCTCTCTCTCTTTTTCTTTCCCTCTCTGCCTTACTGAATTTCTCTCTCTCTCTCTCTCTCTCTCTCTCTCTCTCTCTCTCTCTCTCTCTGCCTTACTGGACTTTTCTCTCTCTCTCTCTTTTTTTTCTCTCCCTCTCTACCTTACTCGACTTTTTTCTCTCTTTCTCTCTCTCTCTTTTTTTCTCTCCCTCTCTACCTTACTGGACTTTTCTCTCTCTTTCTCTCTTTTTCCCTCCCTCTCCGCCTTATTTAGACACACTTTCACGATAATGCTGTACAGTTTGAATTTAGCGTTTCTTTCCCATAGACACGTTACAACTATAATAATATCCCTATTTCTTTCTTTTAATTCTTCTCTCTTCTCTTTTCCCCCCACTCTTTCTCTTTCCTGTCATTCTTTTCTCTCTCTCTTCTTTAATCTCCCTTCACTTTTTTTTCTATCGCTTTTCTTCTCTTTTCTCTCTCTCTCTCTCTCTTTCCTCTGGTCTTCATCCATCTTCTCCCTCTCTCTACATTTTCTTCCACTCATCTCTTCCTTTTCTTCCTCTCACATCTCTTTTTCTCTCCCTCTCTGCCTTACTGGACTTTTCTCTGTTTCTCTCTCTCTCTCATTTCCTTCCTTTGTCTTTCGTCCTTTTTTTCTTATTTTCTCTCTCGCTCTACTTGTTTTTGGGGGTTTTTTGCTTTTTTTTTGTTGTTGTTATGTTCCCTTCCCATTTTTCTTTCTCGCAGTCTCCTGCATCTCCTTCTCTTTTTCTTCCTCTTCTTTCTTTCTCTTAATCTCTTTCTCTTCTCTTTTCCCACCCTCTTTTCTGCCTTCTTTTTCTTTCTATTTCCTCTCTCACCTCTCTCTCACCTCTCTCTCTCTCTCTCTCTCTCTCTCTCTTACTTCTTTGTCTTTTCTTTCTTTACATTATAGGCTTCCTTGCACTGCCAGTCGACAAACACTTCATTTTAAGAGCCATAACGATAGAATAACTCATTTAATAACATAGTCAAAATCAATCATTTATACAAGATTGTTTCCGTCATCCTTTCAGTCACACGTTTTTTGCTCTACCTATCAAAGCAGGTGACTAATTATCTACTTGATGACTGTTTACTAACGAATATATCTGCGTTTTAGTATCGTCAAACGTCAGAGTATTTTAGCGCTCAAACCAGTTAGAACAAATTCAGTATAAGAGATAAGGTAATTGAACATAGAATAAGCCGAGCTAGATGTATATTCTCCCAATACCGCACATTGCTACAAAACCAAAACTATAAAAAAATCAACATCCTCTACCAAGTTTTCCAAGAAATTGAACTCAAGGTAAACTTCAAGGTAACAATTTGGAATAAAAATGAAAGCAGTGATGGCACCGACCCTGAATCCATCATCAAAATTCAGGGTGTGGAATTAGTAAACACTAAACATTTCAAATACCTTGGCATATTGATCTGTAATAACAAATTTAGTTAAGGAGAACAGGAAACTGAACAAAGAATAGGCTGCGCTAGGGGTAGTTTCGGCCAGCACCACAAATTTCGAAGAAACAAAATAAAAATTAACCTGAAATCTTAAATCAGATGGAGACATTCATATGTCATGCATGGTGCTAAAACCGTTCAGAAATGGCTAAACTGTTAGCTGTATACAACCGCTTTTTCAGGTCTGTGTTTAAAAATGTCTTTGAACAAGGGAAGCATGTAGGCCTTAGCGAGGATCATACTTTTTCGAACATCGTGGACTGACGCCACAGACCCCAAACAAAGAACTGTACCAAATAACAGAGACCATGTAACACGAGGACTTCCAACAGCAGCAACAGCTAAAATGAATATTACATGTAAGTCGAAGAAAAAATGATGACGTAATCCGAATAATACACAAAAGTCTACATCTGCTGCATCTGGGTTATCTTCCAGAACATCTGTGTTGTCTAGAAACGAAAAGAATTCCGAAGAATTCTGTAACAGATTTCAGACTTATGGGAAGAGTATTCTGAAAGCTACTGCCATGTTACTTTGAATTTCTGTTGATAATTATTTTCAATCTTGTAGTCTCAGATGTTTTCTCGATTTTGGCGTTTCTTTGACATGGACATTTCTTATTATATACACAATTCATTAATGGCCATTTAAATAAACAGTTTAATTTTTCAAGTTCTGAAAATTAAGTTGGTTGCCAAGGTTTCTTCTATTTGCACGTCATCTTTCTTTTATTCATGTGCACTGTATCAACTAATTGATTAGTTTTTCGGGTTATCAACCTTTTGAAGTTTATTTAAAGCCAGAAAATGTTTCAAATTGTAAGAACATTTTGGCAATAATAATAATTTACTGATAAATCTCTTACTTGGGAGAAGAAGATGATTCATGCCTTTTCCAACAGTAGAAGGGTGACACAGTGCGAAATGGGTTGCTGATCTGAATTGAAGACTTTCAATAGCAGCAACAACTAAAATGAATCGTACATGTAAATCTAACAGAAAATAATGACATAATCAAAGTGTTAACAGTCAACTGTTTCAAAGAAGAGATTAGGAAGTAAACTTCCATCAAAACTGGAAAAAAACAATAACATGTAATGAACTTGAGAAACTTATTTTCCTGAATAATCTTTTTATTAGAAAGATATTATAAATTTCAATCAATAGTAACACTGGCTTCTCGGTTAATTAATGCTGAATGTTTCCTTATAAGGAAACGGCTAATATTTCCTCTTATATATACAGTGTCAGTTAAAACAAATTAAGAAGTCAATTTGTTTAATTCTTACTAGGAATGTCCTTTAAGAATTAATATCTGCGATGATTCGGGATGCGGTACAAGTTGTCGCATTCACAACTGACACAGTATGGAAAGCGATGCTGAAATGAATGCATTGTAATGTTGAAAATAAGCCATGCAAAAATTAAGATCCTATTAACCCTACCATGGTAAACATCTTCCTAGATTCAGAGGCTTACGGCCATATCATGTTGAAATACCAGTTCCCGTACAGTCATCGAATTTAAGCAACGCCGAGGCTGGTCAGTACCTAGACGGGTGACTTCTTGAGAATACCAGATGCTGTAAACTTGTATGTGCCGGTGGCTTAATAGATAACTGCTCGGAATTTCAAACCGGAGAAGTCAAGTTCCAATTCCAGTCGGGTTTGTTATATTCATTTACACGCAAATGCTCACCTCTCCCCAAGAGCTATAGTTGTCCTGGGTATGACGATAAACTGTATCCAACATCAAGGCCTCTCATCGGGAGATTAGAGGTTTTGAGAAGCGTGGAACCACCTCGTAACTGCAGTTATTCACAGGTCCACCCTAATCCGGGGTGGTAGCACCTGTTAGGGTCCCAGCTATGGGCAAATATTGACCTCCCACCCAGAAAAAAAATCAACAGGTCATTTTATAGTAAAATGAGCTTCTTAAACCTACTATGGTAAACACCTTTTTATGATTCAGAGGCTTACTGCCATATCATGTTGAAATACCAGTTCCCGTACGATAACCGAAGTTAAGCAATGACGAGCCAGGTCAGTATATAAATGGGTAACTTCTTGGTAATACCAGATGCTGTAAGCTTGTATGTGCCAGTGGTTTAATAGATAACTGCTCGGAATTTCAACCGGAAAGTCAAGTTCTAATTCCAGTCGGGTTCGTTATATTGATTTACACGCAAATACCCTTAGTAATTATATGAACCAACGTCTCCCCAAGAGTCATGGTCGTCCTGGGTATGATTATCATCATACCCAGGCAACCATAGCTCATGGAGGGTGGGAGATTGGTTCATATCAACTCTATCCAGCAGCAATGTATCTGATCGGGATATTTAAGGTTTTGAGAAGCGTGGAACCACCTCGTAACTACTGTTGTTCTCCCCAGGTCCACCCTGACCCGGGCTGGTAACACCTGTTAAGATCCCAGTTATAGGCAAATAGTGAATCCACTAAACAAAAATCAACCGGTCATTTTATACTAAATTGAGCAATAATGCATTTTGATAGCAAAATAGCAATCAGTTCAATGCTAAAAAAAAGTATAAAAATACATTTTATATTAAAAAAATTACCAGCAACACATTTTTTTTAAAATACCAACAATATATTTAATTGTCTGCAAACGATATATCTAAACATACTTCAACCCTGGAAGTATAAAATTGTGTTCAAAATATTTAGATTTTGTCATTAAATAACCCAAAGAGATTGATATACCACTAAACAAAATCTAACTACACCAACAACTATGGGTTAATTAGAAGGATTTGTATCAGTAAACCATTATCATCTACCCCCAAACTTCTTGCAATCTAAAAATATATTCTGGCTTTAAATAACCTGTAAAAGGTTGATAAGCGGTAAAAAAAAAAACAAAAAAAAAAACAAAGATTTTCGTCTTAAACACAAAATGTTTAATAGGACGTAATTTTTTAAACAGACTGTCTGAGCCCTCAACTTGAGTTTTTATTAGAGTTAGGAATGGGATGACTGGGTTTGAATAAGAGGATAAAAACGTATAGCTGATAATATTATTTTTTCAAAAACGTATCGCTGGTAATATTATTTTTTCAAAAAACGTATAACCGGCAACACTATTCTTTCAAAAAAAATGTATAGCTGATAATATTTTTTCTTCAAAAATGTACAGCTGACAACATTATTTTTTCAAAAAACGTATAACCGGCAACTCTATTCTTTCAAAAAAATGTATAGCTGGTAATATTTTTTCTTCAAAAATGTACAGCTAACAACATTATTTTTCAAAAACGTATAACCGGCAACTCTATTCTTTCAAAAAATGTATAGCTGGTAATATTTTTTCTTCAAAATGTACAGCTAACTCAATTATTTTTCAAAAAACGTATAACCGACAACACTATTCTTTCAAAAAAATGTATAGCTGGTAATATTTTTTCTTCAAAAATGTACAGCTGGCAACATTATTTTTTCAAAAAACGTATAACCGGCAACACTATTCTTTCAAAAAAAATGTATAGCTGGTAATACTTTTTCTTCAAAAATGTACAGCTGACAACATTATTTTTTCAAAAAACGTATAACCGGCAACTCTATTCTTTCAAAAAAATGTATAGCTGGTAATATTTTTTCTTCAAAAATGTACAGCTAACAACATTATTTTTTCAAAAAACGTATAACCGGCAACACTATTCTTTCAAAAAAATGTATAGCTGGTAATATTTTTTCTTCAAAAATGTACAGCTGGCAACATTATTTTTTCAAAAAACGTATAACCGGCAACACTATTCTTTCAAAAAAATGTATAGCTGGTAATACTTTTTCTTCAAAAATGTACAGCTGACAACATTATTTTTTTCAAAAAACGTATAACCAGCAAATACTATTCTTTCAAAAAAATGTATAGCTGATAATATTTTTCTTCAAAATGTACAGCTGACAACATTATTTTTTTTCAAAAAAATGTATAACCAAAGCAACTCTATTCTTTCAAAAAAATGTATAGCTGGTAATATTTTTTCTTCAAAATGTACAGCTAACAACATTATTTTTTTTTAAAAAACGTATAACCAGCAACTCTATTCTTTCAAAAAATGTATAGCTGGTAATATTTTTTCTTCAAAATGTACAGCTAACAACATTATTTTTTCAAAAAAAATATAACCGACAACACTATTCTTTCAAAAAATGTATAGCTGGTAATATTTTTTCTTCAAAATGTACAGTTGGCAACATTATTTTTCAAAAACGTATAACCACAACACTATTCTTTCAAAAAAAATGTATAGCTGGTAATACTTTTTCTTCAAAAATGTACAGCTGACAACATTATTTTTCAAAAAAACGTATAACCGGCAACTCTATTCTTTCAAAAAAAATGTATAGCTGGTAATACTTTTTCTTCAAAAATGTACAGCTAACAACATTATTTTTTCAAAAAACGTATAACCGGCAACACTATTCTTTCAAAAAAATGTATAGCTGGTAATACTTTTTCTTCAAAAATGTACAGCTGACAACATTATTTTTTTCAAAAACGTATAACCGGCAAATACTATTCTTTCAAAAAAATGTATAGCTGGTAATACTTTTTCTTCAAAAATGTACAGCTGACAACATTATTTTTTCAAAAAACGTATAACCGGCAACACTATTCTTTCAAAAAAAATGTATAGCTGGTAATATTTTTTCTTAAAAAATGTACAGCTGACAACATTATTTTTTCAAAAAACGTATAACCGGCAACACTATTCTTTCAAAAAAAATGTATAGCTGGTAATACTTTTTCTTCAAAAATGTACAGCTGACAACATTATTTTTTCAAAAACGTATTATCAGAAGCCTTGCTGTTGGACGTAGTTTATCGTCTTACCCAGGACGCGGATGTAGTTTATCGTCATACCCAGGACGTGGATGTAGTTTATCGTCATACCCAGGATACCTGGGGTTATAGCTAACGAGGCTAATCTGTTTGACCATTATTCCTGAGTGATAAATTTGATTTTCATTGGGTTTCCCATACGAAATTTGTTATTAAATTACCCCCCCCCAAACCACATCATAAAAATCAACCAATCAATAAGCGCTGTTGGATAATGGTTAACGAGACTAGTTAATCCTCAAATTTAAGAAATGTCAAAATTTTTGGTCTATTTCATTTTGACCTTTTCGCAAAGATCGTGCTAACTACTCGTTAACCATTACAGCACACCGAGACACTTTCAATAAAGATTGAAGTTACAAACCCAATTGAAAACCATCCTATTATTATGATTGCGTGTTGTATCATCTTGCCAGAGAGTAATTTTCAAAGCCTAATTACCAAAAGACTTCTTCGGTGTCTAGGAGATATAAAAGGGCCATTGCAGGAGAGTTACCTATGCATATTCGGGACGTTTCATTTTTAGACGGAGATGGTTTTGAGGATGATACATGCAGTTCCGCACAAAGTAACCTTTTGTTGCTCTGAGATGCCGATGTGTCCGGGAATTTTACATGATTTTCGGTACCCTTTTTCATCATTATTCAATACCCTTATCACAAAGGAATAATCGTGTTCTTTTGTTGTTGTTTTTGGGGTTTTTTTTGTTTTTTTTTGTTTTTTTTAAGTTTCCATATTTTTGTTACTTCGATTTGCAGGTCTTCATAATTTGTCAGGTTTTTAAATTCTTTTGTTTAGAAACATTGGAATCCTGTGGGCAAGGCATATCAATTACTTGGCAGGTTCCTTTTTTAATCTTTTATGACTGTTATTATTATCATCTTATGTCATAGACTATGAGTTTTTGAATACACCCAAATACATTTAAATTATCTGTAAAGACACAACAAAAACTAATACAGAAAACACTTTCCTCAAAATTACAATTATTATTACTATTCTAATAATTACAATAATTAGTATTATTACTATATCTATTGTAATTATTATTATTACTATAATAGCATGTTGGAGTAGTGGATAGCGGCTTGGATTGAAGAATCAGAGAGCCGAGTTCGAATACCAGTTGAATCCATTACGTTCACTTACGTGCTAACCTTCTTCTTCCCATGGGTAAATAGCACGACAGACTGGGTTCTATAGCCTTGGGTGGCAACTGGTCTAAGAGAAGGACAACTCTGAATTCAAAATCTGCGGTGGGTCATTTGGGGAGCTTGTGGCACGTAGTGCACCAGGTCTCTGTATTCGGCCCCTCAAAAAGTGTGGTTGATTCTGCACAAAACCCTTACCACCATAATCAAATCATATGTGCTGGTGTCTGGCTATCGGTTCCAAGGAACTGAGCTGCTTGACCCTCGTACGTCGAAAAACGACGACAGAGTCCAGTTCAATTACTATATCTATTATTACTGTTATTATTATTACTACATTTTGACATATTATTACCATAAGTATTATTACTATATGTGTTATTACTATATCTATTATTATTGCTCTATGTATCTATGTATTATTATTACTAAAATAAAGTAAAGCAAAGTAAAGAAGAATAACGGAATTTTTTAAAACCTACCGATTTCCCAGAACATTTCCTGATACACGATGACGTCTATTATTATTATTATTATTATTATTATAACAATTATAATAATAATATTTGTGGGATCATCTTGCCAGAGAGTAATTTTCAAAGCCTAATTACCAAAAGACATCTTCGGGGTCTAGGAGATATAAAAGGGCCATTGTAGGAGAGTTAACTATGCATATTTGGGACGTTTCATTTTTAGACGGGGATGGTTTTGAGGATGATACATGCAGTTCCGCACAAAGTAACCTTTTGTTGCTCTGAGATGCTGATGTGTCCAGGAAATTTACTCACGTGATTTTCGGTACCCTTCTTCATGGTATGCAATAACTTTATCACAACAGCGGTAATCGTAGCTTTAAGTTTCCACATTTTGTTATTTCGATTTGAAGGTCCTTTAATTTGACAGTTTTTGAAATTCTTTTGATTAGAAACATCCTGTGGGTATGTCATATCAACTTATTGGTAGTTTCCTTTTAAAAAAATCTTTTTATGACTCTCTGGTTTATTTGCATCAATTTCCCTGTCTGCGAGGATTGAGAAATTCCACGGTGTAGTCACACCACCATCATTTT